GAAAAATTAATTGAAGTTAACTGAGATCTAAACTGATCCACTATCTCTTTCGCTCTCTCTCTCTCTCTCTTTGCCTCTGTCTTCAGGAAGAGGCAGAGTGTCGGTTTGAACATCAGTTAACTTTGACTAATGTTTAGGGAAACAATCCCCTCCCATGTTGCATAAATGTTTGATCGGCTGTTAATGTAGACAGGTATCCGTAGAACTTATTCTCATACGATCAAGAAGCTGTTTGGTTCAATAACGAAAATCTGAATAATTGATGTGACATTCGTAGCGATTTCTGTGTTGAAAAGAAAAAAAAAAGAAACAATTCTAGTGACAACTAGCTAGCGCAGCGAAAATTCTGTTATAACCAGAGATATAGGCAGAGCAAAAGTTTTATTGAACTCAAAATGGCAAAGATGTTCCAATAATGCGAGCATTTCGATGTAAGGAAATTTGCAGTACAATATCTCAGCTCAGAGATTCGACGCGGGGCGTTGTAACGAAATCTCACTGTATGTTATGAAAGAGCGAAAAGTGCTCTCGGCGATTTAGCAAGTATTAAAAGTAAATCCAGTTTGCGAGATAAAGGGAATCGGGCGATGTTGTAAATTCAATGCGATATATCCGCTGGAAAGGAAAACTATTGCGCCAATTGTACATATGTATCTCAATCTGATAGCACGTCTCCTACAGACAACAATAGTAATCCAAATAATTTTTGTGTCGGATTGTAAAGAGAAAGAGCGTCCAGGCATTTCTTTCGTCTCTGTCAATTGTTCCAGCAGAACGTGTCTATGAAAAAAAAACACGCGTTGAAGACACTGTCCAAAATGCTGGCGAAACTGAGAAAGCGGATGTATCTGGCACAAAGCAGTCTACACTTCTCTTTGTTTCGTTTAAATGAATTAAACGCAGAAACAATAGCGATCCTTTTCTTTGTATCCCTGGCGCCGAGAAAGTTCGCATAGAACCAGATTCAGGATAGATATTTATGATATAAAAAGAGATAAAAAAAGAAGAAAAATGTAAAAAATGTAAAAACGTATTATGTCTCTGATTATGTCAACCCTTTTATTTCCCACTTCCAAGTATCTGACAAGTTTTCCTTACTTATTTTTAAGACTGTAGAGATATCTGCTCTTACAAACGACTTAATATTATTCTTAATGCTAATTGAATATATTTTAATTGGATAAAATTTTACATAAGTAAAATAACAGTACCTCAATACATGTAAAAATAGTTAATAGACAATTGAATGATATACTCACAGAATAAATTTTCACAGAATAAATATTGCTAAATGGCAAATATTAACATTTCATTTATACACATGTCTTATTATTTATATATAACATTAGTTTCGTAAATCATATTAAATAATCTTGGGTAAAAAAATATTATTTTAGAATTATACTAGTTTATTAAAGAAACAATAATAATAACGATAAAAAGTAGAAGTATCACTATCCAGTACACACATGTACGGTCTTTGGAATGAATATTACGAACCTGTTGGGTCTTGTTGATTAAAGATTCATCGGTCCTCTCCATGTGATCAGCCAGATCATCAATTACCTCTAAATTACGATATGATAAAAAAAAAGTTATTTCCATGTTGTACTATTTTTTTTTCATATACTATTTTATTAACTGACAAGTTTTCCTTACTTAAAATCTTTTATATTACTCACCGTTTTGGTGATCCACCTCATTGCTAATCGTTTGTCCAATTTCCTTTTGGCGAACAATCACTTTACATAACTCTTCCAAGCCTTTATCCTGTTCTATAAGAAATTAGAACAATGTTAACTATATATATTGTACAATTATTAATATTTCCTCTAAGAATTATTGTTACCTATCAATACTCGATCTTGGTGACTCATAAGATCATTGACAGACACTTGTACGTCTAACGGTTTGTCGTCATCATCGTCGGCAGCCCAAGAAGTTGTGCCACCGTCGGCGAAAGCTGACGAACCTGTCTTCAATAGGCTGGCGCGCGACGACACGTAGTCATTTGTACGCGGCTCGTACAATCTTTGTAACTGAATATCCTTGCTTTGCAATTGTTCCACTTGTCTCGTCCTACGTTCAGCTTCCTCAAACGTTCTGTCATGCAGATTTGTACTTTAAGGAAACTTATCATTTCAGAGTTATACTATCTCAAAGTCTAAACTTATGCTAAAACAGTTAATATGTATGCAGATGAAAGAATACATTGTTTTCAGTTTAGAAGCTTCTTCCACTTTGGACTTTAATTGCTGAACTTCCCGCGTGTACTGCTTCATGCGCAATCTTATGTTGGCTGACAAGCTAGCGTAAGTTTTCGACGTCTTTGGGGTCCCATCGCGCATAGTGAGATGTTCCATAATCTCACGAAACAGCTTCTCGCATGCGTCATATTCCGTGAGCCTAATCACACGTACGCAATAGATTAGTGGATATGTAAAAAAAACTTGTATAAAAAATAAGATTCAAAAATTTACCAAGGGTCGATTCCTTCGATGTTAACAAGTGCCATTTTCGAGTTGGTCGACGCGTACAAATATATTTATATTAACATTCCAAAGAATACGACGGTGTACTTATTTCATCGTTCGTTACGAAAAATGTTAATTTCTCTATAATCGAGGGATGTACAGCCACATAATTTTCAGGTGATCACAGTCTGTTGAAGTAACGATGACAGCTTCTGCATCATATAATATGATCATATGACGATATGACAATAACACAACACAGTTTTATAAATAAAAAAGTGAAGCGATACAGACTTGCGTGAATGCTTTGACTTTGGCATATAGATAACCTCAAATCACGATGGAACTTGACCGCTGGCCGGCGCTGGCGCCTCTATGTGCATAAAAATGTACACTTTGAACTACATAATCACGGATATTTCCGGTGGTTTCGCTCGATAATGGTACATACATGGTTCGAGTCCGTGCTATGGTTCACGTCCAAACTATTCAGATAAAACAGAGTCGAGATTCGAGATGATTATAATTGTTGTTTATCTTGTCTAACTCATCTTTTCAATCATTTGACTTTCATCTCGATTATCTCTTCTAAAACTATAATATTATAAATTATTACTTTATATTAAATCGTATATTTTTCTTTAATAAAGAGTCTTTTTATTTAATAAAAAAATATAATCTCCTGCAACCTTAAGATTGCAGGTAGTAAAAAAAGGTGCAAGGTAGTAAAAATTTTTATATTTTATAAAATTTTATATTTTTATTAATATTTTATAAACTATTGCGCACTAATCGCGGCCGTGTATTCCGGGAGCATGCGCATCTTTCCCCGTGTTGGTTCGTTTATTAATCGCGGGTTAATTCGCCATTAGAGGCCGGCCGCGTGGTCGCGCGCTCGCATTATAAAAACAAAGTAATCCCGCGATAGGGATTCATTAAACGCCGTTAATTAAGACATTATCACGTCATAATGATCTCTCTCGCGGAGGCTTCGGGGGACTTTAATGAATGAATGAAACACGCCTCATAAATAATAATTAATCTGCCGATTAAGCCAGAGCTCTGGCCAGCGGCCGTGGCCGATTGTCGGAGCGAAGTACGGCGGAGAATCGCTCGCGTTTTCGAAATGAGAGTCGTATACGCGTGTTGTCACGCTCGCGGGAGACGATGCTGTTGGCGATGATCTCGACCGCCTGGCAGATCCTCGATGATCGCGTTTGCCTCTCTCTCTCGCTGCGGCGGGCGCCGGCTTTTAAACGGGAAGTTGTAAGTAGAACGTGGACGATACCGCTCGCGGAAGCGCTTATTATTTTCGCGAGAGTATACAACGGCGCTAATTGCACGAGGAAACAAATAGGTAAGGTCGTGATTTAGGCTGCAAACGAGGGATCTGCCTGACCTGAAAAGGAAGAAAGTATGAGGCGTCGTCCGAGCGGAAATCGCAGCTGACCCGCAAAATTCAGGTTCCTTGGAAATCGCGATCCACCATCGTTTCCCTCGCATATCCTCTTATTTTAAGGAGCTATTCGGATTACTATAGTAGAATTTGCTGTAGAGGAATTTACTCTTGATTAGCTTACGCATCCACTCTTTTATAAAGTAATACGTATTACTTAAAGAAAAATATTCTTCATGTAAGATTTTTTGCTTAGAGGAAGTGCTAAGAGGAATTTCCCATTTATTAGTAGAATATTTTTTTTGGGTGTGGTCATTCTAAAATTGATGTAATTTTAGATGCTTATGATGTAAGCATATGTTAATTAAATCAGTGTCGAAAAAGTGAAAGGAACGCGACTCTATTGATAATAAATATGTATGAGACGTCGACGTATCTTACGTATCTTACGTATAGTAGTGTCGATCTTAATATAAAATTTTCACATTTGGACTTTGCGTCGCAATATCTCGCTCGCTCTCTCTCGCTCTCTTGCTTTTTCGCTCTTTTTCTTTCTTTCTATCTCTTCCTCCTGTTCTTATTCTCTTTAAAAAACAGGTCTCTTTTTGAGACAAATAGTTCTCAAACAACCCCTCAGCCGTGTTATATAATAAATAATTTAAATAATACTTTCTATTACAGAATGGAGACCACGAGGTATCGAGACCATTAGGAAGACGAATTCGAAGACGAAGCGGAGTGGAATTGGGGAGTGCGACGAAAACAAGGATGTCAAGGACAAAGAGGAAGAGGCAGAAGCATGGCACGACAAGAATAATTAAATATTAAAACCTGTAATAATTAAAAATAAATATGCACACTAAATTTTTAAAAAAATTAATGCGTCTCACAAATTATTTAAAAAATAAATATGTATAATAAGTAATTTGATAATATTTATACGAATATTTATATCTCATTGGCTTCACCAGACGAATTCACATTGCAGTCATAACACACGTATGTACACTGACCAGCAGGAATGCCTGGACATTTCGATATGTATATGACATATATGTGTTCTACTTTTGTTCTCACAGTTGTTTTAAATATTTTGTAATAAACTGAATAAATGTGTGAAAGGCGAAAGTGCAATTTTGAGGTATTAACCTTTGTTGTGCACTGGGGGTAGAAAATATCCCAGCGTATTTTCAAACGCGTTTTTCTAATACGTACAATGCGAATCAGGACCTGTGCTGCCATTTACCTGTAGTCTAGGAATAACACTTCAAGATCCTATACATAATTTTGCCCGCCCGGCTTTAGTCTGCTCTTGGCAGTGGTGAGAAGTAAAAAAAAGTAAATAATAAATATACTTTTTTTAACTCCGCTGTAAACTAATATTTTTCCTTAAAAGTGTAGTATTTCAAGAAAGTAATCCCGCAAAAATTATTTAAAAATATTAAAAATTGAATTTTTTATGCATTTTTTAGTGAAAAAGTTCATTTTTCGGTTTTTTTAGTTAACATCATTTATAGTTCTTTTATGTTGCAAAATATTAATGAAACCTATTAAACCTTATTTTGGAAGCTTTGAACAATAGCCAGCAATTTTGTTTGAGTCAAAATAACGAATTGTACGTCTGTAACAAACGTTTTAAGTGATTGGGGTATGAAATACCCCCTGTGCATAATACGTAATTTCGAA